TGAGGACTCCACGATTCTTTTCTTTCGTGGAAAATGTCAAAGTTAGCCGCCGGAAGCGACGAGCGATATTAGGGGTAATAATTTAATTAAATATTAGATTTAAGACTTCCTGCGTTCTAAGAAACGGATGAGCGAGAGCTTTCAATTAGCACAATCTGCTGCCGATAAATTTGCCTACAAATAGAGAGAATCGCCGCCTGGTTTCGCGTGTAAGTTTTGGGAAGGAGACCCTTCCGGTCCCAAAAGATAAGATTCAGTAATTAATTTGGCACACGCCAAATTAGGCGAAGATCTTATCTATCGGCCGCCAACGCCGCGCAAAAATCGGCGGCTGCGGATCAAAGAGAGGTCACTCCGATAACCCCTTTTCCGGATCCGGCGGCTCCCGAAAATCAAAGGAGCCTGACCAGGATCCCAAGTATAATATATATATGGATTCTCCGGGCGACGAGAGTCACTAAAAGTTCGGCAGTCAATTCAGTTTGTCACGCTGTCATTTTTAAACGGCAGAAAAAGAACTTATACTTTGTGCGCGGGTGAAAATCGAGTGCCCGAGAACGCTCCTGGAGAAGCTCCGTGCAACCGGCCCACGAGACCCCAGCGCTTACCCACCGTGAGCTCCTGCCAGCCTCCCCAGCTCGGCTTTTCAAGTCACAGCAAGTAGTAAGTCATCATGTCTTTATGTTTTTTTTAACCGGGAACAACTAAATTAGTCGACTTGTCTCAGACCGATCTCGTTCTCAGTGCGTCGCAAGCAAAATTCAAATGTGCCACCGCGGCCCCGCCCCTCGCGATCAACCCGGCGTCGCCGAAGGCAAGAAGCGCGGAGGCTTCTTGACCAGGCCTACCAGGAGTGGTTAAACTCCTTGGAGGACCCGACAGTGAGACCGGACAACCAGGAGCCTGCTGACTCAGTGTCACCAGTCACTCCTCCGGCTAACTCTCCTCCCTCCTCTCCCGAGGAAATTCCCCCTCGTCCTCTTTCCGCATCTTCCGCTCTCACATACCGAA